AGTCACATCAACGAAAATTGTTGAACCATCGTTGACACAAACTTTCAAAACCTTTCCATAAACTTCTTTGATATTCTTTGTGGCTACAGAGGCATTGTTTCCATTCTTGTATTCAAACAACAATACATGCCAAATGTGTGTCTCACTATAAGGGATTAGAGTATACTAAATTTTACACATTATATAGGCTACAATAACGTGACGTTTAGGTGGTTCGTTTAACTATTATACGTTATGTATGTTTTTTGGGGAAAGGTTAATGAATGTGTTCCAAAATGTGACATTAATTTCTTGATGACCTAATAGTTTGTAACAAAGAAATTTGGATTTTTCAATAATTTAATGTTTTTATTCTAATATGATAACTTACCTCTTCTCACATAATAGCTTTTTCTTGACAATTACTGCCCACTATATGCACAAATTTAAGCTCACCACTAGCCTTGTTCTTCCACCTACCTCCACATGTTTGCACATGGCATGCAAATTAGAATGCGACAACCCTCCTACTATAACTGACTCCCTCTATACTGTAGAACCCAATCATCACTTTTAATTTGGCACTGTAGTGTTCAGACATATGGCTCGTCACTACTTCGTACTTTATTTTTCATGGGTTTTGAGTTTGGTTTTCCTACACCTTCATTCAATTTTCTTTTCTTGGGTTTTCTATTTTAATTTCCAACAAGTTCAACCATGGATTGTGTTGCTCACTCTTTTTTTAACATGAATTCTTGTTTTACTGTTAGCAGGACTTCAACTGTTACTGATACCACAGCTCAATGACATGCTGCTACTGTGGCTTCAGGGATGACCTTACCTGCAGAAGAGGTTTTGGCTCTTGTCTGCCAAGAATTTGAGTCTCTCATGTGACCTGAAAGTTCTCCTGAACTTCGACTGGTTCTACCATTTCTCACCTCCTTCCTTTTGCAATGCACTCTTGATCTATGCCTTTAGATCTACCTCAGTCTTCATCTACATTCTTGTACATGGTGACACAGGTTTGTTCCCTTTTGACATTATCCCCTATGTCTTTTGATCCCTCTACTTCTCTTTTGCTTGATATCTTTTTCTCTGATTATTTCATTCTTTTGATATTGGTGTCCATGCTAATCGTTAGGCAGATCAGTTGCATTAAGGGTCAGCATGCTTCCCTCTCTTTGTCATATCATTGTTCTCCAGCTCCATTCCTTGATTCTCAACGTTTGAAATAATTGATTCAAATTTGGGGTTCGGACCCTAATACATCCAGTCATTTTTGCCAAGCTCATTTCTCCCGCCTTTGTTTAACTATCATCACCCTCTTTTGTTACCTCCTCCCCATGTATCTCGTTTCTGAGGCTATCCATTCATACCCTGAGGAGTTTTTGATGGAAACTTGTTCCTTCCTTTTCTCCAAGTGGTTGAGCTTGTCGTCCTCAGCCCTTTTAACTTACAGTCACCCTATGCTTCAGGTTTGATCCTGCTCTGTGGTGAGTAGTGCCTAATCAGGTATACTATTTGGTTAAATCTGTATTCTGTGACCTTTAAGGACTATAATGCCCATGGTTGAGATGGGGTGTTCCCAAGACTGATAGTAGATGGGGTGGTTGACCATGAAGGCTACCTTCAGAGTGTGCTCAATCTCACTCAATTGACATAAGGGTAGTGGTGTTCTGCCAGTGTAGTTGATGTGTACTCTTCTCCTTATGATATATTTCCAATGCCACCTCATTTTGGACTGGAGCTGACACACCGATTACTGTCTGACACACCCTAGTCACTCTTCACCATTCCTGCATCCAATTTCATGAATATACTTCTTTCAGCCCTTTTTTTTTTGAGACACGTTTCTTCACTACAGGTAAATTGTATACCTGGTATAGATATGGTGCAGTCTCCCACTGGTGTGACCCCATTCATTGAGGTTTCATGCTCCATGGACTCTCTTTGGATGCCATCTAATCCCTCCACTTTTTCAGGGTGGGATTTCAAATATTATGTGAGAAGAGGTAAGGTCATATTGGAAGTTAACATTTTCCTACACTGAAAATGTATTTTCGATAGATACCTCCGCTCACACTTCCTACCCATCCTTCCTCCATCTGGTTCTTACTTTATGCCTAATCTTGAAGTGATGATTGGGTTCTACAGTGTAGAGGGAGTCAGCTGCACTAGGAGGGTGTGCCGCAATCCTATTGATGGAGGGTTGTTGCATTGTACAACACAGCTGTGCCATGTGCAAACACGTGGAAGTAGATGGTAATGCAAGGCTAGTGGTGAGCAAAAAATTTGTGAATATCGAGAAAAGCTATTATATGAGAGGATGTAACTATCTATTGGAAATAGATTTTCTGTGAAGGAAAATGTTAACATTCATTATATTCATTGTACCATAGCTTTGAAAAACATAGCTACATTTATTGCACCATTTCAGGATGTGGTTTATAGATTTCTAACCTAGAGTACTACTGTTTCATGGCTAGAGGCCCGTTCTGTGTACCATTTCAAGATGTGATTTGAAGATTTCTTTCCAGGAGTACTACTGTTTCTTGGCTAGAGACCCATTCTGTGTACCATTTCAGAATGTGACTTGTAGATTTCTATCATGGGCTATTACTGTTTTGTGGCCAGAGACCCATTCTGTGTACCATTTCAGGATTGTTTTGTAGATTTTGTTTCAAACCTTTGCCTCAAGTAAAGGTACACATGAAAATAAGAAAATTTATTTTATTTCCTGTTTTGATAAACTTTCTTTACTAAAATGTTCAATATTTCCTACCCAAACTCTTCCTTCTGCTGCCAAAGTTTAATTTATTCTTAAAATATTTTTAGAAGTTATGTGATTGATTGTTTCAGTGTTTACTGTCTTAAAAATCAAATAAGTTTTACCATTTTCAGTCTGTTACAGTTGGTACAATGCATGATGTAAAGAATCTAGGTATTGCCAGTCAGCTGTTTATATTGGCTGATTTACTTGGAAAGTACTGTGTGTATGAAATATTCATTTTGTTTAAAGATGCACATACGTTATATCTTTTTAATATAAGGTGTGAAGTTTTGCTATTGTTCATTTGGTTTGTGGCTAGAATGAAAGAAGTCAAAATTTGTAATAATGGTAAGAAAGAAAGTTCGGCCAAGTGCTTTCCAATCTTCCTTGGTACTCATCTATACACTGTGATACTGTTAGTTTGTATTAATGAGCAAGTTTTTATGATTTATATGTGTGTGTGTGAGAGAGAGTATTTTGTTTAAAAGCCCTTTTTAAAATATTTTAGTACCTAAAGTTTTTATTTCAGTGTGCAGTTATAAATTTATTTTTCTCTCATTTTAGGTGAATCTAAACATAATTCGAAGGTGTGTTCTTTTGAACTACAACCCCAATGAAAACACCATTGACTTCAGGCATTAGTAAGTACTTTTTTAATTATAAATCACTTGAAAATCTGTGTTTTTTTTGTATGCTGATTTAAGGAATTCAATAACTTTTTTTGTAGCACCATCAAGGTAGCACCTTGTGGAATGAGTAAAGCTGTGAAGAAACTAATTCAAAGTAAAATTCCTGACTTAAGTCAGTACAGAGATGTCAGTGAGTTTATTATGAAGTCAGGAAATTTGTCTGAAAGTGAGGCTGAAGTAGATGGTCCAGAAAACCAAGTCATACTCCCACAGAATATTTCCAGTCGTGGAAACATTGCATCTCATAAAAGTTCACTAAGGTATTTATTCATGTTATGGGTTTATTGACTTAAAATACTTGCTCATTTCACTAAAGCAGTAGATTTTTCACGATAGGTTTATGCTTAAGTTTAGTTTTATTGGAAGATAATTATGGAAATACACTGATGATACACTTACAGGATTCACATAGAATGAATAGATATTGTGGAAATATCAAACTCATTTTGGATGTGTGGAAGGACTTGTGAGTTCTTATACAGAGAATGTGTTGAGTGAAGTACACATCAAATAGTGGGTATTATGCACTTTTTAAGCACAGATGTACACATGCAAGCTTTGGTGTTAACATCATGTAACCTTACTAATTAAATTGTGTATTTAAGTGTAAGTACACAAGTATATATGTTTATATATATACATATGCTTATTCACACATCTTATTGTATTTTAATATGAGTACATTTAAGTATGTATGTATTTATTTATGTATTTGTTCATACATATATTCCAACTTTCAAATGTCTTTTTATTGTCAGTAGCTTCTTGCCTAATGTATTTTTTTAAAGCTCTTAAGAAAGAATATGACAGTTATTGGTTGAAATTATTCAGGAACTATGAACTATCAAATGTCATAAGTAAATATTGGATTCTGTCTTTGTCCATCCATTTATGTAATTCCATATTTTTAAAGATTGATATGTTTATAGTTTAGTTTATTTAACCATCCTACAAGTTTTATAATGTGAATTTTTTTTTGTAGTCAGTTTCTTTTAACTAAACTAAGGTTTCCTGTATGGATGTTTCAGTATTTTATTCAGTTAAGACATGGTATAGCATTAATAGGTTGAAGGTATTTAGAAATGACAAACCTCGAGTACCATAAGTGTATTTTGGGTCTGAAGTTATTTACTACCTATAAAATTTAGAAACTCATTTAAAACTAGCAAATAAACAATTAAAACAAAGTGCTCAGCAGGAATTCCTACAGACTGAAATAATCAACAAGCTTAGAACTAAGAAAATGTTTTATAAGGGTTTATGTCATTGTTTTAATGAACTTAAACAAACATTGCACTTGTTTAAAAAAATTGCAATTTTTACGGTAAGGAATACTGATTTTAATTATTACAATGTTTCAACCTAGAATATTAAATCATCATCAAGTAACAGTTACACTTGATAAACAAGGCTACATAACTTCTGATATTAGAAACTGCTAATTATAGAACTTCTCAATTCTAAGGACTGCCAAAAATTCATAAAACATCTACTAAGATGCATTTCATAATGTCAACCTATTCTTCCACTATATCCTTGAAAAATATCTGACCTGGATCATTTCACCATACAACAACTCTGATAACAGTATCAAAAATATCCCATATTATATTGAGTCCTTAACAAAATTTAGATCCAAAGCACAAAATGTCAAGTTTTGATCCACAAAGTCTGTCTACCCAAATTCCAAGAAAGAATGCATACAAACTTGATATTAAACTAATTATCACAAACCCAAAATGCAAAATTTCTACATGCTCATCAAACCTTCCAACTTTATTTAACCTTGTCACAAAGATCTGTTTCAAATTCATTGAAATTACATGTCAAATCAATGGTATCTGTATGGGCAAAACACCTTTTTAATTTTAAAAAGGCCTTAAACACAGTCATCTCCAAACCCTTATATTGGTTAAGGTATGTTGACAACGTTTTCTGTGGTTGCAACTCTGACAAAGAAAACGAAATCTTCTCAAATCACATCACCACATACAACCTAACATTCATTTTAAAATTGAAAATTAAGGAAATGTCTACATAAACTTTTTAAACATCCTGCTCTGTATAACAACTCAAAAGGCCTAACACACATGTAAAATGAATGTAAAAGGAACATTTTTGACCATGGGCATTAAAGGACTAGTCCGGGCAATATTACTAATAGCAGCCCATTAATTTTTCACATGTTGCATACTGGCTAAACAAAAATGCATCAAATGTACTAGCCCACCAGGCAATTGCCCAATGTCCCATTCCACTCCTGTTTTCGACATTATTTTCTCAGCTGCTGGTGAAAGAATCTTGTGCCATCAAGGCAATATGCCCAACTATTAATGTCCAAGATTATTAACTTACAATTTGAATTAATTTGAACTTTATTTTGTATTGATATATTGTTCCAGAAGTTTTGTATTACTCCCTACAATTCAGCCAAGTTGGTTATTTCGATGTAAATTAATAAAGCCTTAATAATATTTATATCATGATTTTTTTCTAGACCAAGCCATTGTTGTATGTGTTTAATATTCTCACATTTGTTGCATGCTCAGGATCACAATCTTGCTGGAAAATGAATCTTTGCCCAACAGGTCTTGTTCCTGACATGATGGATAAGAATGTACTTGTCAAGAGTCAAATTGCCAACAATTTTGTATAGATCTCCAAGACCATTGGGTGAGATGTAGTCCACACTTGTATTGGCTTCTCATCACAGTAAATGTTGTACATTGACAGTAATATTGTTTTCATATCGGCCATGAAACAAACTGTGCTTGATTATTACCAAATCATTTCAATTTATATTCATGTGTAGAGATAATTTATCCTCCAGCTATTCTCATTCCATTGTTTGAAGTGTGATACCCATTTCAGTGGTTTTTGAGCTACATGCTAGTGTGCATCTTATAGTTCTAGATGTAACTTTCACACCTGTACTTACAGCTGTATAATTTTCATTGGTACAAACAACTTCATCAACACTAGTTATCTGTCACACAGGTGATTACATGGCTAATAAAATGGTGTGAAAAGTTCCTTAGTATTATATCAGACAGTACTATCAACATGAAGATATCTTGGCAATTACAGTGTACATATTGCTCATCTTTTGAACCTGTTTTATAGGTAATGTCATGAATCTGGAGATATGCCTTACAGTAAAGATGCAGTGGAAAGAGTGTGCAAAGCTCTCACATTCTAAATATCTTATTCACTGACATCCAGAATAGACAGAAAGAGTTAAGTGGCTCTTTGAAACTTGGTGAAAATACACTGGGACTCCTTGTTTTGTCCTACAAGTGGTCCAAACAAATTTTGCCTTCCATGTCTATCCTGGAAAGAGTTGTCAAGGTCCAAGTCCTGGACAGCATCATCTTCAGGTGAGAATTAAGAAAATGGTCAATCTCTCTCCTTGAATCAGACCTTCCAAAAATGAGTCTTGTTCCGTGTCTTTTCAACAACAGCCAAGTAACCTACTTCTCAACTCTGAAAAGAAACAAATCATGAATACCTTAAAAAAAAATGAGGAAGATACACTTCATCCAGCTCAAACATTCTCCTTTCTTGTAAGTGGGAAAGAATCATTTCCTGGAAAAGTGTGTTGATGCAGATATGCCTAATGTTGATGAGAGACATATATTGTCTGACTTGGCTCAATACCCAAACCAAAGAAGATCTATGTGTGCGTGTCTGTATGATGGGAGTGATGACTCAGAGGTGGAAAGATTGTTAAATTTGAAATGGTAGATATATATATATATGGGGGAAGTATTAATTGAGCAAAGATGATGCTACTGTCTTCAATCCCCTTTCATCTTCTACAGTAACCAAAAGAGATTGTGATTTTGTGTGAACTAGTGACTCACTTCAGAGGGAGTTGTCATTCTAATGAATATGGTTTCATAATCTAAAGATTTTGGCCAAAGTAACTCAAGACAGGAGATCAAGCATAAGAACAGGCATGTTCCACTTCAAAGCGAGTTTGAATATTTTAAAGATTTAAAGTATTCTGATGATATATTGCTGCAATCTTAAGAAGTGAACAGAGAGAGGAATCTGAGAAGATTAAAAACAAAATTGAAGAGAAACGGGAATATCAAAATGTAGATGGAGACAAATTCTGTCATGAACTAAGAATAATTAAAATTACCTATTTAAAAGCAGTTTTTAAATTATGTCAAAACATTGTGTGTATTTTGGTTTGAAAATATTTTCAAACAACTTTCCTTGGACATATTTTTTAAAAGGATTTCAATTAAATATGGTCAAAGACAGTACATAAGTTAAATAAACTAAAAACACAACAATCTTCAATTATTGTGCACTTTTTAACATTGCAGTGTTTGTAATTTAGTATTAATAGGAAATCACAAATTATTACTTTGAATCAACATGTTTTTATTAAAAAGTGAAGTGAAAATATCTACTGTAGTTAACATTAGAAAAACCTTTTTTTCTTTTACTTTTGAAGAATATTAAGTTTTGTGTCCATCTTCAGACCAGTAACAAAGGGTTTAATCATCAATAATAAACTATTATTGTTGGAAGAACTACTTGACTACTAATAATTATTTCTGTTTGAAACGCACCTCAACACAATACAGCCTTTCTACGTAAATAGGAATGCTGTAAAGTATAAATTATTATTGTGGATAGCACTGTGGTGTGTTAAGTCACTAGTAATTTTAGAAGGTTTGATGATAGGTAACTGAAAATATAAACATTATCTTTTTTCAAATTTTTTCTTTCCTGTGTTGGTACACAGGATGTCAGTATCCGCTTCATCATTATTGAACACTGATGCTCAGATTAACAGCAACACAACCCCACTCTTTGATTTACATAACTTTAATTAGTACTGTTTGTTAAGAATTTTATTCTTCTGCAAAGTTCCAATAAGAAAAAATAAGGGATTTTATAAATGGTAATTTGAGTTTTCTCACCTAGGTTAATAGAGCTTGGTCCTCGTTTAAAACTGCAGTTGATTAAAATAGAAGAAGGCTTAATGGAAGGAGAAATCTTATTTCATGAGCTGGTGGAAAAATCTCAAGAAGAAATTAAGATTCTGAGAGCAGCAAAAGAACGAAAAAGGTGAGAATCGAAAAATCGCATTTTACATGTATTTATTAAGACATTTCAAAATGTTTATTAATTTCATATTTTCCAAAAAGAAATATAATTATAAAATGTAAATACTAAGTAATTGTTTGTATTTATTTGAAGTAAATTTGATGGCTCTGGAATTTCTTAAAAGTATTTTTTATCGATATATATATATATACACTGGATGCCGCTTATTGTGATTACTTTCGGACACAGTTGCGTTGATAACAGTAACCAAAATGATAACGTTAACCGATGAAATACAAATTTGGCAGTTACAATAATGTTTATTGATATAGGGTAGCAAACATATTACCTTAAAGTTTGAAAGCTGGATTTTTACGTTTATTGACATATTTGAAAACAATTAAAACAAGCATTAGAAAAATTCATTTAAAGTTGACTGTCTACTATTTTTTTGGAACAATTCATTAATAAAACTTTTATATTCATACTGTTTATGAAACTCACCTGATCTTTGCCTCCTTCTGCCACATCATTGGTTCGTTTACATGAGCATCTTGTTCACGAACATTAGTAAACCAAAGTTTTAATGATGATTCAACCTGGTCGTCTTTTCCACTGCTCTTTCTCTTACAGTTTAGGTTTTCATTCTGTTATGTTCCCCTTTCAATGTCAACTCGATTTTATTTTAATTTTACACAAAAGAGGGTAGGAAATTTTTAATTGCACTGATGCATTATGTTGCTCCATTTTTGGTAATTTTTCTTAGTGTTCTAAAATGGCAACTTTTTCTTTAAGGGTTAGATCTTTACTTTTCTTATGCACTTCTTCCATTATTAAAGAGGGTTAACAAAAATTGAAATCTGTAAGAGCACCGTCTTTCAAGAAGGAATGAGAACAACTAATTATGGAAAGGAAATGGCAAAAGTGTAGGGGATCTTGATGACAACTTAGCCATGCCCTATTTTATGGTGAACCTTTCTCGGGTTGCTTGACCTTAAGATGGTTAAGCTGATTAAAAGTGATAACAAAAAACCAAGTGCTGATTACAATAAACAATGTTTTTCCTATGTATTTTATATATTTGGTCAGGACTTAGTTATTCTCATAACATTATCTGTGATCACAATAAGTGGCATCCAGTGTATATATATAAATCAGAATTATCCAGGAGACCCTGGTGTCATAAATTCTAGTGAGGAATTCACTGAACCAATTTTGATGAGATCTGGTAGATATACTCAGATTGAATTTAATGGATAAGTACTCAGATGAATAGTTAAAATTTGATGGCCATTCACATTGGATGTCTTAATGCAGTGAATGATGGCTCAACTGAATAAGGAGGTCAGTTGCAAAATGCATGCAACCAAAAAAAATTTGGAAAGATTTAACACTGTGCATAACTTGGATACCTTTGTATCTGTTCATGTGTTATGGCTCAAAACAGTGAAAGAGAGTGGTCCCTGCTCCCATTTACAACCAAGCATTGCCAAGTTCTTTTGCTTGTTTAGGCGCTGCTTTTTTTGCTCTTATCTTGCTAAAATACTATGATGAATATGGCATATTTTTCTTCAGAATGACTTTTAATCCATTATTTTCACAGTTAATTATGTTTGCTGGTTGTCGCATTTTTTTCAGTCATCTTTCTAATACATTGTATACTCATTATTTTCATATTCTTGGATTTTTAAAAACTAATTGAGATTGATGTGTGATCCCTCTTCAGGTTTGGCCTTGGTGTTAGACTTTATCTCATAAGAAACATACATATGTAGTGTTGGTAAACTGTCTACCAAGATTTACATCAATATTGCCTTGATCCTTAAAGGTATGATAGAGTACCATGGTATGATTACTATTGTATGTTCTATCAGTGGACCTTGTAGATGATATGTAGAGTTGGTAAACTGTCTGTCAGGACTAAAGACCTTACTATCACCAGTGAGCACCTTTTATGTAACATATACACACCTGCATATGAAATTTCATTTTTTTTTCTGGTCATCCCAATATATAGGTTTTTCAAAGAATTTGTCATCCCTTGAGACATTAACCAAGACTTCTTTCTCCTGTAATTTTCTTTCTTTTCTATTTTAAGATTTATTACTAGTCTTTGTTTGCATTAAATGCTACGAGATCATAAAAGTGTGGGAACAACTACTGATGAAAGTCATCTTTGAAAATAACTATAACAATGTTTAAGTACCATTAGACAGAGTATATAACAAGCTTTTTACATCATTATAAATGGAATTAAATGGTGTAAGAAGAAATTTATGGTGTCGTATGAAAGTGTAGTACGTGGAGTGAAGAACAACAGAATTTAGTGGGATGTTTAGAAGACTTCAGAACAAATAACAAATATGGAATTTTTTTCAGTTTCATTAGACATTATTTCATTCCTGAAAAATTTTGATGTTAAATTGCATTTTTTTTCTATGACAAGACATCAGGTAAGGCTTATTGGATTTTAGAGTACAGTAATAATGGCAAAATATTCTGGTGACTTAAATCCTTATCTACTGAACATCATTGTTAACTTTATTGTATTCAAATAATGCACCTAAACAAAATAACTTATAATTTATTGAGATTTCTAATGATATTATTGGTGAAAATATTGTTCCCTAGCCTGACTTAAAACCATTGTAAAAAATCAGATCTTACGTTACTGATAAATATTTATCAGTTTATGTCAAGTTTCTTATAATTTATTGTCAGAAGTGATGACTGCTGCAATCAGCAAAATAAAGAAAACATTTAATGAAAGTCAGTCAATTGCCAATATATAAAATGAAATTTTCTAATCAACAATTAAAAAAATGAAAATTCTAAAAACGTTTTTTTAATGTTTTTCAAAAATGTCTCAAAAAATGAGGGACATTTCATGACATAATATACAATATCTGGTTTTGACTTTAAAAATTCATATAATTTGATGTCATTTTTCTATTATTTGTTAGGTTTTTGGTTATGTACTTCCATTGTGAGAAGGAAAAAATTGTGGAATATCAGTGATATGTTTTTTCACACTCTACCCAATCAACTTTCCTTTCTTCATTACAGTTACTTAGGTTTTTAAAAAAAAAATCATCTTGTGCTATAATGTAGCTTACATTCTGATACAATATCTTACTCTGCTAACAAAATAGTTTTTTCTCTATTAGTGCTGCAACACAACCTCTATTGTAACCAGCACTCTTTCCACATTTGCACTCATTAATCACATTTCAAATGGCAGTATTACTGTACAAACGTGCTTGTTTTTGCTCGCAAGTTTGTTTATATTTTCCTTTACCATGTGTTTATTTCTGAAACAATTGAGTAATAGGATTAGATTACGCACATTGTAGACATGGGATGCTCAGTAAGACCGCTAGGAGTTCTCTTTAGTGGTCTTTTGCTTCCTAAGTATGTTCATCCCAGAATTGTACACTCATGGACACACGAGTAAAGCAGACTCTTCCTATCACAGACCTGACATGCAATTTCAGATGCTGTCAGGTATTGGTTGATCAACTCAGTCAGTGTGGTAGCTCTGCTTTTCAAAATAGGGTATCGCGACCTCCCGTTGCACTGTCTCTGGTGATGCAGTCCTTCAGACTCTCCAATGCATTTTTCCCCCTTTCTTTTAGTGGAGTATGTAAGTCCTTGCCACTTTCCAGTTCCTAGCCACTGGGGTGGTGGACCATGGAGGCCTGTCCTACTGAGTGATGCATGTATCACTCATTTGAGAATAGGGTGGTGGTATTCTACAGGTATCAATGGCAAATAGCACTTCCTACCACAGACCTGATGTACAATTCCAGATACTGCCAGGTTTTAGTTGTAGCACTATTACATATTAATACATTTATATCTGACAAATTGTCTTTTTCCCACCATGGCATTTTTACTTTCTACCATCCTCTAGACGTACATTCCCAGTGGGTCAGGTGTTGGTTAGAGATGGTCCAGCTAAGTAAGTCCTCACTTGTGTTCTGGCCTGATCCCTCCTCCTACTGTAGACTGAACGAAAAATACTCAATGCCACCAGTTTTTGGACTGGAGATGCACCCTACTCTTCCTACTGTCAGCTGGATGTCGGTTCCTGGGAGATCTGGTGTTTGTTATAGCTAGATACAGCACGTGTATTCCCACTCATGTACTAGCGGGTATCCTCCTCCTACCATGGACTAGAAGAACCATACCCAATGCTGCCAGGTTTTGGACCTGAAATGTCATCCCACTGGATTGGTTTGTGGTGGATCAGGTGTTGGTGGAAATACATGCAAGTGGAAGCAAATTTTGGTATGGAAGCTCGTTTTCCCTACTAATTTCCATTTCATGGTGAAGAGGTAGATGATCCTCTGCCTACAGCAGAACTGTTGTACATTTCCAGGTACAGCCAGGTATTGGATGATGATCTGTCGTACCCTAACCACTCGACACCCAAGAGTCCCATTAACCGTACCTGCCTGGACATTATTTAGTGCACATGTTACGAGATTTAGTGGCTTACATTCAAAATTTTATTAAACTACTTTTTGTGTATGTTACACCAATTAGTATAGCATAAAATTGTAGCTAATAATTTATATTCTAATAGTATATAAGTTTTAAGTTATTAATTTTATAAGGCAATTTTTAAAAAATCCTGAATTTCCCCTAGTGTGAGAAAGATGACACATTTTCTGTAGACATTCCATCTTCTCTATTTTATCCATCACTCCTCCAATAAATATAAAATTTAAAGTAAATTACTCACTATAAAATCGTCATTGCTCAGAAAAACCATAATTTTCATAGCTCTTAATTCTGTTTGGTTACAGAGTCATCAAATAGAAAATCAGACCCCTCTTGCTACACCCACCTGTCACATCCTTTCTTTCAGGATTTGTTGATAGTCCTCTCTAATTGTTTAATTGTATATTATATATAATCAATAGAAAGCCAAGGTTTTCATCTATCAAATGGCGTGTTATTTTACATTGTGTTCTGAACAAAGAAATATCAATTTCACTTTTAGTACAAGCTTTGTTCTCATGGGAAAGATAAGGATATTGTTTGCTTTTTGCGTGTTATTATTCTATGTTCTTTGGTGCATTATTTAATTAAGTACAAATTACTTAGTGCATTACTACCATTAATAAAAAAAAAAAGTAGGGTTAAATGTCATCAACAGTCGATAGAAGAAAAAAAGAAGACACGGGTAAGTACTTCATTTCATGTTTATTCTTTATTTATATAACTAATATTTAAGAATAGGGATCTCGTTAGGTTAGATTAGGTAAAATAAAAAATATATATACATATAACAAAAATGTTTCACAATTCATGTACATGAGCATCTCTTGCGTAATGTGAGATGCTCATTCCCTAAGTAATTTACAACTTATAATGGTGCAAATAGTAGTTAGAAATGGTTGAAAGGGCAATAAAATTTAATACTAAATAGATGCGTACTGTTAAGAGTTTAAAGCTACTTAGGATAAACGAATATAGTTTCATGTTGCAATTTGAAGTCATTCTAGCAAGAAAAAGAGGATAATTTAGATTCCCATTTTTTGGGTGGTTACAAGGTCAGTCAAATTGACCAACCTGGTATACAGTTAGGGTAGAGAAAATAACAGATAAATTATAAAGTTTTATTGAAAACAAACTTTTGAAATGCACTTAAGAGGTTTTAGAGATTACACAAATGAAATTTGAGATTTTTGAGATGAAGAAAAGTATTTTTAATCTTACCATGAAAATCATTTTGCATACAGACTATTCAAAATATTTTACCAAAAATATTACTTTTTATATATTGAAGACTTATAATGTTTACTGAAAGACTGCAAAATTTCATAAAGATATACACGTATGTTAAAAAGTCAGTAGTATCAAACTTATAAAGACTAAATGAGTACAAAAGAGATCACATGGTCGGTCAAATCGACTGAACTCATATTGAGAGTTGATCAGTAATACGTATTATGGGATTCATTCATGGTTTTCTGCCTTTAATGTTTGCAACACAGTCATAAAAGAGTGAGGAGTATACTTGGATCAAACGTGGTGCAGTCTTTTGCTGAATTGTAATATAATTTTTTTTTTGGTTCCTCACTTCATGGTCTCTCTTTGGGCACTTCCTAAAGGGGGATCATTTTTCACAAGCCCTCTACCCGTTCAGTGTGGGATTCTAGCTATTTTTTGAGTAGAGGTAAGATATTGTATAGTAAGATAACATTTTCCTAAACTGCAAATGTATTTCCAATACTTACCTCTTATCACATATCCCACCCAGTTTCCCCACTTCTGTTGATATGTGGTGTAGGTCTTCTGACCAATCTGAAAGTGAATAACAAGTGCAAATGTTGAGAGGGCACTGGTTACGATACAGGTTGTGCTATGCTCCTATTGGTGGAGAGCTGCTGCATAATCATTTACATGTGGATATGCAGAAGCAGGAGGTGGAAGGCTAGTGGCGAGTGTTGAAAATTTGCACTGGTAGAGGGTAGTACTAATTGAGAAAAGCTATTTTGTGAAAGGAGGTAAGTATCTACTGGAAATACATTTTCAGTTTAGGAAAATGTTAACTTTTGGATAATACAGAATAACAGAAGAGCTCAAATGATCTTAAGTCAGCAAGATGTACAATGTGTAGTTAAATCTGGGTAAATTTTGGATATGGATGTTATGTTTTAAACTTTGTCATTTGAGTGTTTCAACAAAATGTCTAAAGTTATGTGTACTAAATAAATCGTGAACTAACAGGAAAATCAAAGAAAAACGAAGGAAACAACAAGAACAGAACAAAAGGAGAAAGGAGGACATAAAAAATGAACATAAAGAACATTCACTTGCTGGAATTAAAAGAAAACAAGAACTGGAGAAACAAGTTGAAAATTATGATGAAAAAGATGAAGATAAGCAATGGTTTATTCAGGAAGTAGGAGAAGAACCTGATCCTGATTTGTTTATTTCTAAAAAGAAAAAAAGATTATGTTAGGACTTAAAATAAAAGTTGTTTTTTTATCAGTGAGACTGACTATATGTATGCATACTTGTTCTGCTGCATATTTTGTACATACTTTTTCTACAGCATTCTAACCAGAATTATTGCTAATGGCCCAAATAAAAACATTGGAGAAAGTATATGACCAGCATGTATCTAACCAGTAAGTTTTATCACACACAAACTGAATGCCAATCATATGATGGAAAATAATGATTAATTCTCCTTCTCAAAATTATATCTCAATAAATGTTTTATGAACATTTTTTCTAAAAATTAATTATAATCTAGTAACTATATGTATGGAGATTGACTATTCTATTTCTAGTATTTCAAGAAACCTTTTTTTTATGGATATTTGGTCATCTCTTTTAAGTATTGCTTGATTAGCATTTTGACTTCTGTAAATTTTTAAGTTATGTTCTTGGTAAATCCTTATAGGTTGAAACGTGAAGAAAGTGATTCTCAAAGACATATTTCTACTTGGTAAACTGTATGACCTGGCAAATTATTAATGTGATATTAAAGGCGGTGAATCGTATTATGAATTTCAGGGTTTTCTCTTGGGACTGTTTTCGTGGTTTTGTTAGCCTGCTGAACTGAAGAAGCATGTTTTAATTTATGCATTTTCAAAATTGAAATTTGCTGTGGGTTAAACATGCAGGTTATTGTAGAGTTGTAGTCAAAGGTTCCAATTGGACAAAATTTGGTGATGTTGCATAAATGTGTCTGCTTGACAACTAAGCAAACATAAAGGGTAATTTCAGCCAATGATTATGAATTTTGTGCGAATCCAAACCTGGCACCGGATTTTGTATTTCTGGACCTTGGAATTCCTGGGCACCACGTTTGAAACTGTTCATACCTCCAAGTTAGTGGGACCAAATACTGCACACATTTTTATGTGCTACAGACAGATATAAAATGGTTGTTTTCGGGTAAGGATACCTCTTTGGGTGGCTGTAAAAGTACTTGAGGATAATGGAGGTGCTTGATCAGTACACTGAAGCCTCTGTAAATCATGGGCAGCCCTTTGAACACTGCAGCAAGACACAGATATATTGTATGCAGGTCATATTAATCCCAATACTTAACTGTAGTATAAAAATCGTCCAATGCTGATATACAGTTTTATGTTTTACTTATACAATGTACATATTTCAGATTTACAGCTGAACACATAATGCAGGTTTTTAAGACATTAAGAAATATTTAAATGTTGCATGATGTTTCTTTAAGAAAAATCATTAATATGGAAAGATAAGACCTACTGTGCAGTGTTTCCCAGTAAGTTTAAAAGTGTAAATCTATTATATAAAGATGAAAAACCATCCGTACTGATCGACACAGTTTGCACAAGACGACAGCACTTTCTGCTGTGACAAGCAAGTTTGTCTTTGTAAAATCCTTTGAATCATATATATATATATAATGGATGATGCACTACTTTGGGCATGGAATTAGATTTGAGGATAGGTTGGTAGAGGTCATGATGAGTGAAAATTGAATTAGGTATACATTCTTGGTATTGCTGGCAGCAAATGTGAAAACCTATTTTTAGAACTCAACTTCCATCCTGCCTGTATGACTTTCTGAGCATGTTTTAGCCATTATTAGAGGAGAGGACTATCCCATATTGATAAGACTCCCACCAACACCACCCTTATTTGGTTCTGCTAGCTCTAACACCATGAGCATTTGTGTAGAAAAACACAATGCGACTTAATATAGGATGATTGTTGGAAGGTTAGAGGACTAAAGCTTTTACATCTGTAAGTCCACAGACAGATTGCTGTGCCACTGGAGGAGCTTGTAATTTTTACTAAAAGCTTGCCAAATTATTCGGAGATATATTTCTAAATTCAGAATTATTCTAAAAATTATTGTAACATTAATATGTGTACTTTAAATGATATGGTGTTGGTTTTGTCGACCAATGGTATGCACATTAAGTTAGAAAAAACAAAAAACATTCATGTTTAATGTCTTGCTCACTACTAAAATTAAAGCCACTATGGAACACAAACTCACTTGTGCCACGGGGCCTTCCTCATCTTGCTCATTACTTGAAATTAAAATCGGCAATCACATCAAGTGGCCATCTTGCTAACATGTCAAGCAGCCCCATCTTGATCATCTTGCTCATTACTTGAAATTAAAATCGGCAATCACATCAAGTGGCCATCTTGCTAACATGTCAAGCAGCCCCATCTTGATCATCTTACTTGAATTTAAAGTCAACATTCAAGTCAAATGATCTCATCTTCGTTATTTGAACATAAAGCAGCCTCCCCTTCCTCATTATCTAAACATACAGCTGACACTTCAAGTGGCCTTACCTTGCACATCATTTGAACCTAAAGTCAACACTTGCATCAGATCGCCTCATTTTGCTAATTATTTGGAACTAAGGCCAAAAATCACGTGAAGTGGGCTCATCTTGCTCTTAAATCAAAAATAAAGTCTTTTATGAAATTTTACTGTGGTTGTTTGAATCTAAAACTATTAAATTAAAAAAAGCTTGTTATTGTAGTATTCCACATTACATTTTGCCAGTAGGTAAGTGGATAAAGTTCCACAATAATATGAGATTCTTACGGAAGTACATAACAATCATAAGATGTGTACTCCTCAAACTGGTGATCTTCACTAAGGACATGATAATGGTACTAGGCATTCTGTAATACTGTAACCAGAACACATTTTACTGAAGAACTAGCTTTGCTAATAGAAATATATTCCAATTCAAGACTCCAAAAATATAGCATTACCCAGGCCAATAGAATAGTCTCATGTTTAATTCAGTGTTTTCACTGTCATTGACTCTGCACATTATGCCAGGCAGTGTGAAAAATTAAGTCTAATGATCACTTACAGAGGCAAACTTACACTAGCCCCGAGATAAATGACAACCTAAAGACAGGATTAGCACTATTCTCAGGTAGGTATCTCTGACACAATAGAATTTCTAACAGTTCTATGTGAATAAAAATGTTATGAAAGGTTTACAGCCATAATGTTGTATTCTCTAGATTTGCATGTCAAACATTATCCAATTTCATTATGAGCTCATATTATTTACAAAAACCCAGATAAAATTAAAGTAGGTAGAATTTATACAATTAAAAAAATTCAGTGTGAATGCAGACATTTATGAATATTCGAAATTCTGTTTATGGGTGACTGATTAATTTTTAATTACAGAATGGCCATCAAAAGACTAATGCAGAGCAAGATTTAAACAATCTGAAATATAATTTTATAAATTAATATATTATTTTAACTTGGTATTTCTCCACATAATGTCACTAACAACAATATAATTGTTCTCACTCTTAACTATACATCCAAAATATCAGAAACCGTTCTAGTCAACCACCAAAACCAACATGTTTTTATTTTAATCATATTTATCACTGGTTTATTACAATTAATTAATTATGATATATAAATATTTCAACATACAAAGTGTTACTGGAAAAAAAATTAGTTGTTGCTTTTAAAACTGTACAGTGTAGTGAAGAGTTAGCTTAATGTGATTTTTAACAGAAAAAATGTAGCTTGTGTTAAAAACAGTCTAGCAATATTAACATGATGCAAATGTTATAGGTTGTAGAAATGAAATATTAACAATAAGCTTATTCCTTGAATTAGATATTACAAATTGGGGTGTTCAAAGTGGATGTTTTATGAAAATTGTTTTATTGTACAAAATCTGAACATTTTTTCAGAATTTGAAGAATTTTAGAGAAAACAGTTCTATAAAATATAAACTACTTGTTATTAACGTGTAACTGAAAACACTGGACTGAATAATTCATGACAATATTTATTATTTCATTAAATTACATGTGTAAGATATATAAAAATTGATGATGATTGGCTGATATTTACATTGGAACCTGGAGCACCATCACTGATCTGTTGACTGAATGCAAGAACTGAGTCATACAAACACAGACAAAAGTTAAACAAAAAAGATCTGAAAGATTAGTCTTGTTTTCTTTACTCAGTACAAACAAATCACTATCTTATAGTGGGATGTAGTACATCAATTATGTAAATCACTGTGAACAGAATTAGTTTGGGCAATAATGAAGTTTTGAATTAATTTTTTAAGAAGGCAATGTCACTACAAAGCCATGATGTTAAGTAATGACATAACTAGCTTTTATGTAAACCTCACAATATGCAGTCACTTTGTTATCTATCCATTTTCACAATGAAAGTTGTTCTGACTGAGGACTTGGGGACTGGAAAGGGCCAACTCAAACAAAAAATGAAATTAAAGTAGTCCCTGTTCTTTGTATACATGGTTTCCCTAGATTTACAATAAATAGGGTACCAGTCGACCACAGCTGATCAACATTTACTGTTATAGTCTTCTTTCACATCTCAAAACACCGATTAGCGTCGAGGAAAATAATTTCCTCGTCCTCCACCCCTGTCTCCACGTCCCATTCCTCTGCCTCCAAATCGACTTCGACCCATCATCCCTCCTTTCCCTCCACCAAGTCTACCATCTCCCCCACCACCTGGACGCTGTTCTCTTGGCTTTGTTTTCTTTTCTTCCACATTCAGTCGGTGATTGTTGAAGTATATAGGCTGGAAAATATCATAAATTCTCTTAAAACAATTCTTTATCTTCATGGAGGGTTACATTATGAAATGAGCACTTGACCTAAGGTCTGTGTATTCATTCACACTGCTTTACAAAAATTTGCCTTTTGTACTGTTTTAATTTTTTTTTTTTTACAAAGAAATACTTTTTAATTAAACATTCAACTAAAAAACCAAATCTTGCGTAAAATAAGAACTTAAGTTCTAAACTGCATTTTTATTCCAAGTTTATTGAAAATAAATTTGAATTGCTATTGAATGTTACACTGTTAATATAGGCTAGTAACCATGACAAGTGGCGTTTCAATGAGAAAAATACTAGAACTTTTCAAACATAGGCTACTGCAGTTTCCAATCAATTAGAAACAAACTCTACATAATTAGAAGCATGAATATAAAGTTTGAACCTCTTAGCTTGAGTTGCTGAGATATCAATAAAGTATCAAACCTATCAGAGAAACCCCTCCCCTCTTTCGATTTAGAGATTGTTTGCTAATCATCCTTACATGGAAGAAAACAAGACAGTGAAACACATGCCAAATTAAAGCAAGTTTACCCATGAATATGTTTGGGCAATGGACCTTCATTAGATTTTTAATGAGAAAACGGCTTTTAGAAGAAATAAGATAAAGAAAACCTGGCTCAAGAACATATTTTTAAGGGAAAATAAAATGTACTGTATGAGAATACTTGTGTATGGAGAAGTAACTAAAAGAAAACTAGTTCAGTAAAGTTGGAAGAAATAAAGAAAACTGAAAAAAAAGAAAGTTAAAGCAATATGATATTAAAAAAATAAGTAGACCATGAATAAAAGCAAAAATTGGTTAGATATAAAAGCAATAATAAAATACTAATAATTAAAGAATAAAAGTGAACATTAAAAAAATTGTCTAGCAAGATACAACAATAAAGGGTATGGGAATTGAATACAAAAAAAAAGTAATATATGCGAGATGTGACTTATTAAACAAAAAAGTTATTGGAGTGTGTACATTTGGGTTTTGTAGCATAAAACATTTATTACAGATCATACAAAAATATCAGGTTTTATGAAATGTTTGAATGACTTTTGCATTTGAAATTTTCCATTGGGGCCAGATATGGATGGTGTGGTGCCAACATATTACCATGTGACATTTCTTTCTGGACAACATGATATACCCGAGTTCACACTTGGAGTTGATTTCTGGATGATATTGCGGACCAAGACAAGTGTACATTCTTTAAAATATTAGAAGTTGTAATTGTCTTGCCTATTCAATTATTTTATTACCAGATCAGATTTATTCTGTCACCACATGTAATATCAAAGAACTTGTAAGCAATCTATGTTTTTAAATGGTCGAATTCTTAAATTCATATTTCTTCTAACGACATTTTTACAAGACTTTTCGTTATTTTATGCTATGTGAAACTTGGTACAATTGCTACATCATTTTTATTGGCACTTACCTTTGCCATAGTATTAGGCCAATGATATTAAGTTACAGTACACCAAACTACAACAACAAGATTCTTTGGTGGAACTCTTTCCAACTTACATGTTCAACACTAACTACAGTGTGCCAGAGAAGAGAAACAGCCTCCGTTAAGCTTTGACAAACACATCCACAGGTCTGTACATCACTTTAATATGTCATAACTCTCTTAAAAAGTTAAAAAAGCAAAACTATGTAACCTAGGTAATAAAACACAAGATCCTCATTCCACCTAAATTAGTCTAAAAAAGAATTTAGTCATCACAACTTTTGCCAATTTATCATTCACTAACAAAAAAAAAAAAAGTCTTCAGCAAAGGTCTCTTCTAAATGTTTCAACCAGAAATCCAAGCAGACTAAGAAATTTTACTGTAGGTTAAGATCAGATGTTAATTTTACAAAATTACCCCCTCCCCTCTACTAACTATATCAATAAGCCTTTACATTAATACTGTGTGAGAATCTCTTCTTGACATAGCGAAACCAACCTCCAGAAGTTGATCAACAACCCCACATGTACAAAGTAACTACCTTTGAAAATGATAGCAAACATATGACCTCCAATATGATACTTCTTTCCCTGTCAGGGTCAGCATCTTCCATATCTAAGTTAATCTACAAGTGAACACCACCACTGTTTTTTTAAAAAGTTAAAAAAAAGGAATTTACATGGACACCATCATGTAGAACCTTCACTAATTTAGTATATTCTATAAAAAAAAAGTCATAATGATATAAACAAATTAGATTTACAAAGTAAACCTAAAAGCAGTAATTTGACCCCTAATGAACAAAAAATCTTGCTAAAATTTTCTAAATGACAAAACATCATAATTAAACCTGCTGATGAAGGTGCCAGAAGAGAAGAATGATGCAAAGATTTGTATGTTGCTAATACTGAAAAACAACTTACTGATACTCTTTTTAATAGCCTCCTAACCATCAACCTGACCCTCCTTCACCTCAAAATTAAAACAACCATTAATTTCATTAACACGAGTAACTTGCCACCAGATGCTACCAACTGTCAGTAATCCAAGAATTCTGGAATTTCACCTTTTTTCCTAAAATCCATAAACCAGGGAATTCTGGTTACCTAATAATTTTCACCTGTAACTGCTCCAGTGAATTAATTTCTTCATTGTCTCACTTCCATAAAAGGCACAACACATGCACTTCAAATTTTCAACAACTTCCAGTTTACTTAGTGACCATTATATATTTGCCATTAACATTTAACTGTTGTACACGATTCCCCACGACAGAGATGTTACTCGGCTCTGTAATCTTCACTAGACCCTCCAGCTCATACCCTTTTATGTTTTGCCAAATTTGTATCAACCTTGAAAAGGTTCTCCTTTAATGGCAAGTATTACCTACAAATAAAAGGTGTTGGGTCCTTCATATGCTTCAGTATTTGTTACTTATACATATAAATTCAATTTTCTTCACCTATCAAGGAACACTTCCAACTCTTAACAAACACTACACTGATGACATTGTTGGTGCAACTAACACGTCCTTGTGTGAATTAAAAAACTTTAGTGTTTCCTCTTTCCATCCCCTGCTTACCTTCACTTGGTCAGTTCCTCAATAACATTTTAGACATTCAAAACATTTCCTTTCAAGGCCACTGTTTATTTACATCAGTCAAATACAAACCCATTGATTCCCACTCTCATCTTTGCAATGACTCCTTCCATCCATGCCATACATTTCAGTCACTTCCACATTCTCAATTCCTAAGACTGTATAGAATTTGCAGTGTATAAAGTGGCTACAAATCAAAATCTGAATAAGTGAAAGATTTTTTTTATGTGTACACCAAGAATAAACCCGAAATCTAAGTCTACAAACTTTCAGATACTAACTATCTTTACTTACTAGACCAATACCAGATCATCAAACTGACATATTTTTTTGTGTTCTAAAATGCATATTTGAAATTATATAAATTATATTCTTGGGCACAAAAAAACCTGTAAAGCTTAGGGAAAGACAGCTTCCAATTTCATGAGCACAAACAAGTTTGACAGTGCAGTAAATAACAAAATTAGCTAAGATGTAAATGTTAGCAACTTTTCACGTTAACCTATAAAAGCTTAGTAAAATAAAACTATAAATTTCATTAGCTTGAGGTAAAGGTCACATTTAGCTATGTGTATCTAGTGTTTCGCCTGCTTTACATTTACAGTCTTCAGAAAACAGCTAATTAATCTTGCAGTGGTTTATTGCAGTTTTCTTTTTTACTAATAATGCTACTGCTCCAGTGGGTATAAAATATTGCAATAATATGATAAAAGTAAACAGATGTGAAAAGGTTAAACAGACTTGTAATGTTTACTAAATGACCTGCCAAAGTTTGTGAAGACACACATAATAAATTCAGTTATAGAAAGTACATAGTTTCTGGTCCAGGGTCAGCCAACCTGCTCTGAAAGAGTTAGTTACTTTTTGATACTAACTATTTTAGCTACTAATCTGCTGCTGTTTTCAGAACTATTCCTGTGGTTGTTGCAATACAGAAGCTGTTGTGCTATTTGCTCATGTTTTCAAGAGGAGTAATCAGATTCCTTCACTTCTGTATTATCTTGACTGAGTGTACTATCAGTTAGATGAACGTAAAAGGCTTATTTCATATATATACCTATATTTTAGTATTATTCCAATTTATCAGTCTGCAGATATAGCAGTAATAAAGTCTTTTGTATATTACGCTCCTGAATTTTAACTTTTGTTTCTCCAATACATTGGAATCCACATTACAAGGGATATCATAAATATTGTTTTTGCTCTCTAATAGTGTGTAGGCTACTAACAACTAAGACAATGAATAATATCCAATTATAAATACTCCACTCAAACATATATATTAGGGTGGTCCTTATATTTGAAGTTCTGATTTACAACACTCTCATCTCCCTCATTTTGTTCCAACATATAAGTAATTAACAACAAATTTTATCCATATTGAATAACATTTTGGAATTGCTCAAGGTATTTGAAATTTTATTTTGTAGCTCACATTATTTCTGCAAATTCTGAATATGCTAGAATGTTGAAGAACATTCCATATATAAATAATCCATGCTGTCACTTTTTATTTCTGGAACATTCTGTATTACATGACAGTAGTTCCTAGAATTTCTGTGAAGGTATACAAGCATTTAAGGAAATTCTTCTGTATCATTTCAATTGACACTGTATCAGTGTATCACTGCAAGTGGATACTGCAACAAATAAGAGTACACTTAAAGTGCTGTGTGTTTTTTTTCTAATAACAAAACATTACAGAACACAGTTGATGAAAGCTCAATGGTTGTGATCAAGGAGGCTGTAGGTTTTTGGAATAAGGCTTGATGTTCTTGATGAATTGGATTTCATGCCATTATCAAACTGGAGAAGCTTTCTGGAAAAATGGACAAAACTGAAGAAAAATGTAAAAGGAAAACTAAAACATAATGAAGCAGAGTTTGTCAGTAATCTGAATGACCTTTCTGACATCAATCATAGAGGTACTCTGACTCGGATGAAATTCCAAGAAAACAAGGATTTTTCATGCTCAGAGGAAATGATAATGTCAAGAATGCACGAACCAGGTATATAGGGTTCTTTATTTAAACGAATCAAGGACTGAGAAAAGAATTGAGGCAAGTATGGACAGGAAATGACATGAAGAGCAGAAAGAGCAAACCTTGATGAAACTGTTAGTTGTTGGGAATCATCCCACAGTACTGATGATGAGGTTGGTGGATACAGTACCAGTAACAGAGATGAGGATAGAGAAGCAATTGAAGAATCATTATCTTCTAAACCTAAAAAGAGAGCAAGAAGAAATATTATCCCTCCAAATGTAGCAGTAGGTATGGACAGAATTAAGCTGAGTGACAGAAAAGCAACATTTGTCCTTACTGCCACAACTCGCAGCTTTGGTCATGATATG